TAGAAGAGTAGATGGCTATCAATTTCAGCTCCTTGAATGCTGTAGCTGTAAAGTGTACTCTGTTAAGTGAAGACTCACTTAGATCTATCCATTTTTATATTTCATCTTCAAATTGCTTCAGCAGTTCACAGACAACAAGCTACTGAGAGTGCTTTGATGCTGAAATTGCAGCTGCTTTTGAATTTCCAAGATGGACAGGATAGGAATAAGTGGTTGGTTCAGTCAGTTATGCCTTCAGTACTGGTGCTACTGGCACACTCGCATACTCTTGCCCTAGGAAGGGCACACAAGATTTTTTCACAGTTCAGCATATAATAACTGAGAATTATTATCATCAGCAATCAATCTGCTATATCATGTATTTGAAGCCATAATTATTTCTTTTAGTTTGTCAAACTCCATTTTATGTATAATGATCTCCATCTTGCACGCAGCTATCTGAACCTACCCCTAGGCTCTCTTAACATCTGTTGCAGATCATGATGTTGGCAGCCACTGCTATATATCAGGAAAATAAGGCAACATGGAGCCACAAAAAGGAATTTGACTGAAAATACGTCGTCAGTTTTTTTATCACAAATCAACAGATCTTGAGAAAATACTTTTGCATACAAAATCCCTCTCATTCATTGGCTGGACTCAGTTTTCACCTCAGTTTTCATGTATTTTACAACAGGTTAGCAAAAAGCAGCTTTGAATTTCTTGTAAGGTTCACAGTATGTTGCCACTGAAGACTATGCACTGTGCTGTTATAGTTTCCATTCTGCAGCTAAGGTTCAGTGCAGTGAGCTATGCTTGGATGACCTGTTATAAATCATTAACAAGAACTTGTTTTTATGGGTATTTCTGGTGAGAGACCTTTACGGTCACCTGGAATGAACTGCTGTGAATTTAGCAGATGAATCATTTTCTTCCACATCTCCTGAGGAGAGTTATTGGGTATAAAGACATTAATAGGAGTTGTCTGTATTGTTGATCTTCTAAAGTTATAATTACAGCAACACCCTCTTTAAGGCCTGCTCTGTTAATGTGAAGAGAACTGTCTGAATACAGCCAAAATCAGAGGGGTTGTTTAACGTGTTGAACTCGTGAACTCATATTCATTAGTCTAGATCTTTAATCACTTTAGTTCTGCACAGACTCAGTGCCCAGTACTGGAAAGCCTAAAGCTGCCTGCTGAATCCCAGGTGCAAGTGCGTCATCCCTGTGGAAATCACTGTGGGATCACAGGGATCACTCTGTGGAATATGAGACCCACGTAGGAGATCTGTACAGCCAGCTTCAGGCACTGTGTGATTATGTTTGTTTTTTGTGGTTTACTGTCTACCACACCAGGTGCCTAAGCAGAACCAAACCAGTTTTCTTCTGTAGATCATAAGACTGCTAAGAATTACTAAATATGCTAAAGCACTCAACAGTGTAGAAGATTTCCTATACCTACGATCTCAACCACTTCTTCTTAATGACTTCTTAGGTATGTACCGTTAGGTAATTTTTTCATCCTCAGACAATATGATGACCACTGGTCTTAGGTGGTCCAAGATCCACACACTGAGGTGGTGTGGATCTTGTAGGCTGACACAGTTATTGAAGGATAAATGCAGAAAGGAAACAGCCAACAAGGAACTGAGAATATACATAGGTTTCAGCCATAGGGTCAGTTTGCACTTGTAACATGTGCAATGATTATAACTGAGGACATGTCTGATGGAAAAAATGATTTTCCTTGTTAATTGCAGCGTGAGATGGGTTAAAGTAGAGAAAGATACTTTAAAATGGAATCTCCAAGAAGGAAAACAAAAACATCTATTTAAAAAATCGGAGCTTCTTTTAGACCCATTGTGTTTTTAAACAGACAGCTGCATTTATCAGCTATTCCTTAGTTCACTGAAGCAAACTCCAGGACTATGTGTCTGAAGCAACATCTTTTGTTGCTTCCTTTGAATTCTGTCAAGTATGCATTTGGCTATCTTGCACTGCTCTGGCAGAAGACCAATATTGCACTGCCGTCCCTCTTTCCGGAGTTACTTTAACTAATGAACTTGTGGTTCCAATTATTTTGCTGAATCTATTTTATTGTAACATATATTCTTAATTTTCACTTATATTAACCTTTATTTACATCATTTAAACAAAGTTTAAGGTTAAGCATTAAGTCAATGGCTTGTTTTTGTTGTAATTTATTCCTCTATAAAGTATGAGTAAGTTCACTGACTTGACATATTTACAACGTTATAAAATGAGACTACATACAGGAATAATCAGTGGAGACTTAACAATCTGCCAATGGACTTTGAATTTCCTGTTTGTGACATCCTTCAGTCCCAAGAGCAAAGACACTGAAGTCTTGAGGTCTTGTGACAGAATTTGTGCTGGATCCACGTTCTGCCTCTGTTCTCTTGTTATTTGCACACGTTGCAAATCACTGCAGCAGACTTTACCAGAGTGTCGTTGCCAACAGCCTCATAATTCCGTGTCCATCTGAGATTTTTTTTTTTTTTTCAGAAATGTGTATGATACCAATTACCAGTCTAGATGACAGAAATCATAAATATCAGTTAGTTTCCAAATTTCCTTCACATTGGCATTTTGGTGCTGTGATGCTTTGAGAAGTTTGATACATGTCAAAAAGTGTACCGTTTGTGCTCAACATGAAGGGAAGAGGGCTGTTATTTCCACCAGAACCATTTTTCCCCCCTGCTAGGAAAGAAAGTGAGTATTAAAAGGATGATAATTATAAAAATTATTTTCTTTGAAACTGAAGACTTGTCCAAATTACAGCTGATAGTTTCTCACTGCCTCCTGCAGCGAGACTGGAACATTCTCAAAAACTAAGAAAATACTTGTAGAGGAAATTAAAATTAAGATTTAGGACAATTATTTCATTAGAAGCCATGTGTAAAGGGCTACAGGAGCCTTCCAATTCAAGGGGGCAGGCTGTAAGAAACTGAATGTTTAGAATTTTATACTGTAAATTTTACAATTATTTATTTAAAAAAATGTGGAAGTGGATTTTTTTTTTCCCCCACTCAGAAAGGGTAATGCTTCAGACAGATGTTTTAACATATTTAGGAGGTCATTTATTTCTAAAACAACTGAATTAGAACCACCTACACCCACAACCAACATAATGTTAGTTACCACTTGCTTTAAGATGGACGAACTTTCTTCCTCAAGAAATCTTGAAGTAGAGCACCAGTCTTGGGTAGGGTGAATGTTGTAAGGCAAGACGCTTATGGCTTATGACTATGAATGTAGTTGTGGCCTTCTTCTCAATATTATAAGGGTTGTAATAGCTATCACATAATGTAATACTAAATAATGTAATAAACAGTAATCATCAGCACAGTAATAGTTGGTATCAGAACTGCTGCTTCTCATCTCTGTAAGGGAACTGAGGGTCTGCAGGTGTCTCTGCATACTATTTGGGAGAAAATACTAACTTTTCAGCAGTGACCACTGTGGATTTCCATCCTCAGCAGGAAGTTGGCTGATTTATAAGCCAGCTGTTTCAGTTCACTGTGTCTGGACCCTTTATTCCTCAGCAGTCCTGAGCTGTGAGTCTCAGCAGTGCTCAGTGGTATAACATATAGCTCGTAGGCTCAGCACTGGTTAATTAAGCGTTGTGCACGTCCCTCTGCATAGCTGCAGAAGAAACGGGAATGGAATACTGCTCTTTATTTCTGCCTGTGTTGCAGTAACTGGTAAGACACCAATTGCCAGTTACTACTGAGCTGTATCTGACTCCCCTCCCGGTCAGTAGAGCCTTTCTTTTTAGCTGCTTCAGTGCTCATTTAGGAATTGACAGACCTGATACGTACCAAATAACATCCAGCAAACCCTGTAGGGCTTTATTAGCACTGAAAATCAACGACTTATCTTGAGGCAGCAGGCCCAGCAAATAATCTGTTGCTTGCAACAGCACAGGACATTGTCACAGCTCTGGGGGCTTGGTTCCAGTTATGAGGCCTGGCAGAGTACACAGAGATTCACTTCACCAACAACAAAAGCAACATGAGCACGTCCCACTTCAAACAAGCAAACAAACCAGTCCCTGTCAGACATCTGTTTCTGCTTTCTTCACTGTGTCCTCAGAGACTATGGAATAAAACTTCAGATCTTTGTCCTTCTTTCCACTGGCTTGAGCATAGCACATCTTGGTGATAAACCCCAAGGTCAGCAGTTCTGTTCCTCGTGCCCAACGAGACTTTCGACCAGAAGCACGAAGCTCGTCTGTGCAGGGGACAGAGTGCCAGGCCACAGAGCTAAGCAGTGTGAATCTCACCACCTTAAACTCTGCAGGCACACTACTTTTAAACACTTATTTCTCCATAAACATCCATAAACTTGTACTTTGAAGGAAATCCATCCGAAGCAAATTGCTGTCAAAGTAAAACACTTTATGCATAAACAGTTCCCTCTCTGGGGAAGGGAAAACATCTTCACACAAATGTCCTCAGGCACCTCAGTGATGACAATGCTGAAAGCAAACCTAGCAGAGATAAATGGCTGCCACCACAGAGAGCTTCGTGGCTTTCGTGCATCTACATTGCTTTAAATGTCTGGAGATCTGGACTTTAACCTCTGGCATAAGCTGACGAACGGGCAGATTCTCCCCAAGTTTTAGTGCCAGCTGACGTAACCCAGAGCAGCTGTGCCAGAGGAGCTCTACAGCGCACAGGCACTCAGCCTTGGCACACCATCCTCTAAGCAACCACGAGATAAAGCATAAGTGCAAAAACCTGCTAGCTCAGCATTTTTGTGAATGGAGAAGTACCTTCCCCCTCTGGCTGTGTTCACAAAATAAGGACTCGTTGGCCCACCCCTCCCTGCTGGCTGTACCACTGCCTCCAGCTCTGGGGTGACTGGTGCTTGGCACGACCCGAAATTCAGCCCTCGCGCCTGGCACTCCTCGCTGTTCCGCCTGACAAAACGCTTCTGTTCGCAACTAGTTAACCCAGAAATATTTTGGCTACTTTTGCTGGAGGGGTTTGCTTTGCTTGCAAGGTCGCTTGGAGTGAGCTCCCTGAACTTTGAACCGTGTCTGCACAGCGAGATAAACAAGAGCAGTATAAATACCGCAGCCCTGCTCCCCACCACGCTTTCCTCCGCGGCGCAGCGGAGCGGCGCTGCCAAGGCGAGTGGGGAGGAAGGGGTAAGTCTGCTGTTTTCACTTCGACTAGAGCGCCGGGACTTCAGATTTGGCAGGGTGTCTGCTTGTTTCCCCGGCTGAAAAGGCCAACGGTGGAAATTTCCATTGGAAAATGAAAAGCGAAGGGAAGTGTTAAGTGGGAGCGCGGCTCCCATCTGGAGGCTGCAGAGGCAGAGCAGCATCGCCAGATGCCCCAGGAGCTTCGCGCCCTCCTAGTGGAGCCCTGTGAAGGTGGACGGCGTCCCAGACGTGTGGGAAGAGTGAACAGCTGGCTCTGCTGATGCTTCTTGGGCCAGTATCTCATCCTCAAAGTGCTGTACCCAAAAACAGTTTTGGTACAACTGCAGGCAGGGAACGTGGGGACAGCAGGATTTCTCAACATGATGCTGGCGCTGCAGCAGCTGGCTCTTGTTTGAAAAGATCAGTAATTAAAAGTTTGGTGTTATTTATTTATTTCTGAATATGACAAGATTGGTGAAAAGCCTACCCTTTATCAGAATTTACTGTGTCCAAAACATCCTGTGTTTACTATCAGACTCTGATGTGAGTGCTGGAATCACAATATTCCACAGCCTCGGATGTGTTTGGGAGCAGTTTTAAAACTTTATTTGAGACTTTTCTGCACACATTAACCCAAAATTATTATGTTATTGGAATAGAGGGATAACTACAGAATTTCTTGTATGTTTTGATTTTCATAAACATTAAATGGACTTAGTGTGGGCAGGAGTTTTTGTAAGATAGGGCAAATCTGAAACTTGAGTTTTCATTTCCTGCTTTTGCAAAATTGTTTCTATTCCTGTATTCTTTAGAGATTTTTCAACTGGATCCAAATGCTACAAGCTGACTTTTAAAAAACTTTGTCTTTTTTTCTTTTTTTCTTTTTTTCTTTTCTTTTCTTTTCTTTTCTTTTCTTTTCTTTTCTTTTCTTTTCTTTTCTTTTCTTTTCTTTTCTCTTCTCTTATCTTCTCTTCTCTCTCTCTTTCTCTATCTTCTCTTCTCTCTCTTACTCTTCTCCTTCTCTTCTCTATCTTCTCTTCTCTTCTCTTCTCTTCTCTTCTCTTCTCTTCTCTGCTCTCTCTTCTCCTTCTCTCTCTTCTCTTCTCTTCTCTTCTCTTCTCTTCTCTTCTCTTCTCCTTTTCTCTTTCTTTTTCTCTTTCTTTTCTGTTTTCTTTTTCTTTATCTCTTTCTTTTCTGTTTTCTTTTTCCTGCCAGGAACTGTAATGCTTGCTATGTATCAAAATGCTCTGGTGGTGCAATTTCTTGTAAATAAGTGGACTTGCCATTGAGTAGGTTGGATTCATACCCAAGTCTGGAGTGAACTGGCCTGGATTCTTACTAGTGTAAACTGGCTCAGCACCACTGAGTTCAAAAAATGGGAAATGGGGCTGTTCAGTAGCATTAAAAGAAATTTCAGTTATTCTGAAAAATTTTTCAACAACAACAAAAAATTAATTAATTACTTAAAAAAATACTTAATGTAGGAGAACTCAACTGCAAAATGAAAGAAATATGATTAAGGAGCCAACAGTAGTTCAATTTTATGCTCTTTTACTTCATTTATTTATTTATTTTAACTAAACTGAATGGAATGAGTATCCTGCTGTGTTTTGTTGTGGGAATTTCAGTGTCTGAACTTCGTTTAGGCATTGATCTCATTTTGTTTATTTTCTCTCTTTTCAGATAAAGCCCAGCCATGTGGGCAGGGCTGGGGCTAGTTCTGGTTCTCTGTCTCCTCCCAGGAGGAGGGACGGAGACCCAGAACTGCCAGGAGCCCCCCGAATGGCGGGTCGGGGAGGAGAACCCGATGCTGAACTCGAGGGGCTCGGTGACGGTGGTGGCTCTCCTCCAGGCTAGCTGATACCTGTGCCTGCTGCAGGCTTCCAGGTGAGTGTAAATCTCTTTCCCATCTTTCGTTAAACCATGAGTGGTTGATTTTTTAAAGCCATCTGAGGATAATTCATGTGCCCAACTACAGATGCACTCAGTGAACACTAGCTTCCTCAAAAGCCCCTGGCAATCCCAGCTGGTGTGTGTGCCCTGGTGTAGGAGTGCTCTGCACCGGTGGCAAAGATTCTTCAGCTCTTAGCGTCATCCTGACTAACAGATCATGTTCTCCAGATGGTATTTACAGCATCAGATCAGATCAATTTGACATCAGTGAAACCCAAAACACACAGAAAGCCAACAGAAACAGTTCCTCAAGAGAGATGCTTCAGCTAGGAGCAGATAATTAATATAGTAGGATGCTGAAGCCAAAAAAAATAATTCTGTGACTTGGCTAGAACATCTGAAACAGTCCAGTTATCACTCATTTTTTATGTAAAATCTGTAGGGGGAATGGCAAATCAAAATGCAAGTTTTTAATGTTCTTTCACAGCCTCTATTCAGAGGTTCTAGATACAAAAAATAAAAAAAAAATCCAGAAGATACAGTAAGAACTAGCCTTGCAAAAAATGATGAAGAGTTTAAGGGAATATCTGTTATATTTTCATACAAGTCCTGAGATGTTGGTGTGCGGTGGTTTCTTGAACCTACCTCAGTAGAAATAACTAGGTAGCATGACAGTAACAGGAGCAAGGAAATAACTTTAAGTTGACCCAAACAGGAATTACATACAACCCTTGTCTTGGATTCATTTAGTGGTTGTGAAATCAGTTTGGCTTAAAAATTCATACTTCTGGTTTCATGGCTTGATTTTGATCACTGTAATAACATATGCGTTTTCCCCTCTAGGCTGCTTAAGTTCATATTATGATAGTCTTTGCAAATTTTTCAAGAGCTGGATTTTGAAACAATGGGAAATTTCTACCTCCATCGAAGTCAAAAATGAGCTTTGTGGTTGGCTTTCAAGGTAGTTGGACTTGATTCCATGCATTTTAGAAAGGCTGTATTCTTTCAAGTTCTGGAGTATCTCCTGGAAATGAAAAAATTAAAATGTTTTATAGAGTAATGCATATGGAGTGATCCTGATCGAATGAACGAAAACATTGTATAGCAAGAAAGCAGCTTTCTGTACTAGGTAGCAAGGAAGAAGGGGTTTGTGATGGAACAGAAAAAGAGGAATACTGATTCCTGCCAGCCAGGCTTTGAACACACTCTATAGAGCCATTTTTTCAATCCTGTTAATGTAACATCCCTTTTCTGACTATCACATCTGGCTGCTGTACAAACCTATTTTGTTATAAAGGTTTGCTTTCTTGATTCTTCATCATCCTGATATATTCACTTTGTTCATTCTTTAACCACCTATGTGACCCAAAGCTCATCATTTGAATACAGACATCTCATAATCTATCTGTGTTAGACCATGAAGAGTGTGAAAACAGATGTCGTCTTTCTTAGCTTTCTAAGCTCTTGTAGAGTCTGGCTTGGTGATAGCATAGAGTCATACTGTCATTTAGATTGGAAAAGACCTTCAGGATCATTAAGTCCAAAGACATAGTGGATAGCTATGGCAAATAGCAGGGATGTTTTAATGTTGTTAGATCGTTGCCATTAAAACTCATAGGAAAAAAAACATTTGCTGTAATGCAAGGAACATGGAGGACATTAACTTTTGTTGATGTGGCAAATAACTTATGTCTGGAAGCATGCATACATTTAAGAATAATGTTTTTGCATTGCAAAGCAAAAAAAAAAAACAAAAAACAAAAAACAAACACCAACCAACCAAACAGAAAAAACCAATACAATTGATTTATGGTCTTGCTTCTTCACATTCTCCTCTAGACTGGAGGACCTGCGAGTGAAGCTAGAGAATGAAGGACTTGTCAATATCTCGTATGTGGTTGTCAACCATCAAGGAGCTTATTCCCAGAAGAAATTTCACCTACTGAAAGAAAGTGTTTCAGAGTATATTACCGTCTACCAACAAGATGAACATCAAGCTGATGTGTGGACCACCTTAAATGGAAACAAAGATGATTTTCTCATCTATGACAGGTCTGTGTTTAAAAGAAAAAACAGGAAAATATTTGCACATATTTAGATTAATGCTTTGTAAATCTCTATATTAATTCATTAAAATATTCTCCTAACAAAAACGTTATAATCTAAGTTGCACTGAGTAAAGCACTTGAACTTTTGCTGGGAAAAGGAAGCTACGAAACAAAAGTCTGCTTTTGCCTAAGTGAGTTTGGGATAAGTACATTCTTCTTCATAATTACTCTTCTTCATAATTGATTGCATAAAATTAATCACTATTAATTTTAGATTAATATAGTTGAGTGCAGAATTTGATGATTCTGATGTTAAGCTGTTTTTATCCTCTGACAACTTCATTACATCCATGTATTTGAAAGTAGAATCAAGCCAAAAAAGCTACTTGAGCTACCTGACTTCTCACAAAAACATTGTGACTGAAGTTGCTGAAGGCGTCACAGGGACATGTATCTTTTGGCAGAACTAGTAATAATTATTTACTTGAAGTCCTGATTTTCCAGTTTTGAAGTGATGGAAATTATTTGAAAAGTCCTGCAGTTAAGATGTCCATCTCAGTTACTATTATGCTAGTGTAAAGAACATTCTCAGTTCATACTGAAGCATAATGAAGTTTGTTAGAGAAGTAGAAAGTTATTTCACCTTTTTTTTGGTCCTTCTTGTTCTTGGTTAACATGATGAAATTAGGCATGAAATGCAAATTAGGGAGCAAATAAGCCCCAGTATGGAAGGTTGATGTTATATGACAGACAAACAGAACGTCGTCCGTGGAGGGTCCCCAAAGCTGATACCTGGCCAATGTTTAAAGGTTGAACAATTCTGTGCTGTCAACACATAGGATACACCTACACTGGCACTTTTAATTGATTTGGCAATAGTTTGGCTGTGGTCCATTTTGGTTCTAGGAATTTTTGTCCTGCCAATCTGTCATCCTAGATGTGTACTGCAAACATGTAGGGAGCTAAGGCTGGAGGAACTGCTGTTGACATTGCAGGTGGGGCACATAAGAAGGTGCCCTTGTGTACAGCTTGCACATTTATTCCAGCTGGTCAAGGACATACCAGAACATTACAGTACAGACATGGGGCAAACATGCACTGTAAAAATTCCCTCATGCACACGAGATCACTAATGGAGATAGATCACAATGCTCATTCCCATAAAAAACAAACAAACAAACAAAAAACATTAAGTTGCATTAGGGAAAGGTTCTGCACCCAGGGGGTGGTCGGGGACTGGGACAGGCTCCCCCGGACAGTGGTCAGAGCACTGAGCTGCTGGAGTTCAAGGAGTGTTTGGACAACGCTCTCAGACATTTGGTTTGTTTTTGGGTGGTCCTGTATGGAGCCAGGAGTGGGACTTGATGAGATGTGTGGGTCCCTTCCAACTCTGACATTCTGTGGTTCTTTGTACACAATAACCATGTGGTGATCTGTACCAGTATGCAAACAGCCCTCCTCGTTAGTAAAACAGATCTTGCTAACCTTTGTAACCTTTGGTAACCTGGGTGCAGCTGAAGCCGAGTTTTCTGCCCGTGGAGTTGTTATGTCAGTCAGAAATCAGGCTTCATACTACATCTGACGCAGCTGAGCAGACAGGTATTTGTAAGGCAGATGCTGGTTTTTACTGTAAGTTTCTTGGAGAAAATTGCTCTCTGTTGGTCTGTACATTGTGGGTGGACTGACGTGAGTAAAATAAGGTATGTTAAGAAAAAATATTTAATTTTATTTGTGTATGTTTCTGCATACGTAACTGTGAAGTTCTTTCTCTTCTTAGATGCGGCCGTCTAGTGTACCACCTGGGTCTTCCCTATTCCTTCCTGTCTTTCAACTACGTAGAAGAAGCTATTAAGATTGCATACTGTGAAAACAAGTGTGGAAACTGCTCTTACACGGTATTTTCTAGTTTAATTCTTCATATACTAAGAAAGGAAACTGGATTTGAGCAGTACTTATATTTTTTTTTTCAGTGTGATTAATCCCAAAAGACATCATTTTGAGTCTAGACATTTCATGGGTCTAACAGAGAACATTTACATATTTTTTGAAAATGAATTAGATGTAATTTAGAATAGACTGATTATTTAAATTCCTGCCCTTGACCTAAATGCAAATCATTTTCAGAAATCTAAATACAACTTTGTGTGGTAATCCTGTTTCTGGAGCTAGTGAGCATTTAGATACCATTTTTGGGGACAGGTAGGTAATTAAATAGTATTTTGGGGGGAAACATGGCAGCCAAATCTGAGCTGGTGTGAGTTACTATTCCTTTTAGTTTATATTTGAATGTATACAACATACAATAATATATTGTATAGAAGTAAATGTATACAGTTATTGTATACTGTGTACACTATACAATAGTTAATTTTAAGAACTGGTAATACAATGTGACAATTATTACTATTATGAAAGAAAAAGGGTAGCTTTGTTTTACATATAACTAGGGATCAGAAATACTTCAAGGATTACCAAGAAACGTGCATACATAGTCATGAACGTTGGACAAGAATCATTGTTTTGGTTTCTATCATACAGCTTTTCAGCTGAATGTAGGCCTCAGGCAGGTTGGATGTGAGAATATTTTTATTAGCAATTATGTAAACCATATTTTCTAAAATTTAATGTTAAGAGGCCTGTCCAGCTTTCAGTGTTGTAAAACAAGGTTTCTTTTGATACATTCACATCTTTTTTTTCCCTTTTTCTTTTTTTTTTTTTTTTTTTCAGCAAAGCAGCACTTTCAGAAACAAACACTTTTTTTTTTTTTTTTTTTTTCCCCTCTTGGTTAGCCTTAGGAGGGACAATTCAAAGTTTTAAAATGCTAAACACCACATATGATGTTCAGAAGGCACACGGCACCTTTGTGCCTAGCTCACTTTCAGCCCCTAGTGCTTACACAAATAATCACATCTGGAATCATGCAGTCTGATAAACACTACAATTTGGGAATTGAAATAGGACACAAAAAGTATGTGACAGAAAATCTTCCCTGCCCTATTACAGAGTTACAGCCAACCAGGCAGCAGTGACACATGAATGTGCTTTAATCTTCAGATGGAGAAACCATTCTGAACAACTTTGCCAGCTGCAATGTTCTTATTTAAAGAAAGCTTTCGTGTTCAGCAACTGGACATATATTGCTGACTGGTTTATCTATTTTTATGGAAACATCTTCCACAACCCCACTCTTAGTGGTATGAGATTGTTTTTCATAGCTGCTCCACTGGCATGCTTACCTGTGCCTGAGGTGTCCAACCACAGAAAAGTGGCGGTTAAGCTAGGGATCTGGGTGATACAGGGGATTTTTGTGCCTCCAACAAATCTTGGAGGCAGATGTTTCATTCCAGTTTTTCTTTTGTAATTGCATCACAGAGGGTGTGGTAGACTCTGTTCTTGAAGCCAACTTGTTTGGATTTCCCCTCCCCACCCACCTCCAGGGCAGAGAGGTTACAGAGAGAACTTTTTTGGATAGTCTTTGTATTTTCTTGATTTTGTTGGAAGCTGGAATGTTAAATGCATTGTTCTTTTCTGCAAGGAAATATAGACGGTAGCTCACCCCTTACATTACTCCGTGAGTTTTTCAAAACTACTTATAAACAGCAGTTTAAAATAGCTCATTGGTTGGGTTCTAAGTACTGCAAAAATACTTATATGATTAATATTTACAAGTAGTTTAATTAAATACAATGCTTTGTATAAACTTATGTTTTGCAGGAACCTGATATTGATGCAACATGCGAAAACATCACGAAAAAAGCAGATGAAAAGCTAGCAGAGGTAGAGCCCAAACCAAGTGGTCAACACTCAAATCACAACCACCAACCACATAGGCACAGACACCACCACCACCACCACCGTCATTCCAAAAATCAGAACCATCAGGCTCCTTCTGAAACTCAAAGACGTCACCATCACAGCAGTCGGCGTCACAGAGTTTTTGACCATAACATACATGATCAGACAGGTAGCCATGAACAGGTAGAAATTGTTCCTCCAGGAGAAGGTGTGGAAATTCTTAGACAAGATACAAAACTATGAAAAAAAGGGAAAACCAGCTGTAAAAACCAGTTAACCTGAAATTGGCAGACAGCATCTTCAGACTCAACATCCAGTAGCTGATGTTGTCATTGTCGACACCTTTTGTTTGAAGAGCTAGGAAATGCTGTCACTTGACAGTGTCACGGAGCACTTCCAAATTCTTGCAGGTGACACGGCCAGCTGTTAGCAGAGGACATCACTGAATCCTGACAGTGACGTCTGCTCACTGCTGCCTGAGAGTCACCAGCAGCAGGAGCAAGTGAAACTAGCGACACCTGACAGTGACAGGAAAGGGCAGGAAACTGAGCATGAAAAACAAACTAAGCACCTTAAAAATGCAAGGAAGTCCTATTGCCTAAATTTATTTAATTGCAGCAGAGGAAAAAAATAATAGATTAATAGAGAAGTATTTCCATTACTCCCAAATGAAAATTAGACCACGACAGGTGACAGGAGTGTAGAGTTAAGGTTTTGCAAAGAGCAGTGCTCTTGGAATTACATAATACCTGTCAAACTCCATCAACAAAAAATTCATTAATATAAAGGAATTTAATTAACCCAGAGTTTGTTTTTCAGTTGCATGTGGGAGGTGTCGGCATTTTTGATTAATTTGTCTTCCTTGTTTCTCTTCTAACATTCTGCTTGCATTTGTGAGGACAGGAACATAAACTATGACCTAGGGGTTCCTGTCTGATGTTTTGCAATCAAGAATAGAAGAAAAGCAAAACAGACACTTTAATCTTTTTTTTTTTTTCCTTTTTTTTTTTTTTTAATTAAGATAGAATATACTCAAAAGCTTTTTCTGACCTGGGGATACAAATTATGTACAAGAAAAGCTTATTTCTAAACAGTGTGCCAAAATAACTTTTTATCTCAAGTGTAAGATACAAGCAACAATTGAATTATTTTAAAATCACAGTTGTATGCTTTACGTTTGTGGGTTAGGTGCAGTATCAGGATCCACTGATGCATTCTACTACAGTTTGTAAAATCCCACTGAATGATTAATAAGATCATGTCTGAAGTGAGAAGTGTTAACAATTCTTTGTGTGGAATCAACATTTTTAACAGAAAGGGACAGAACAAACTCACTCTTGGTTTAATGTTTATCTTTGTTTATGACAGTACTGAATTTGTTAAATCTGTATTGATTAGCAAGGTAATATACCACTGACATTTGTGTAATTTCTCTGTTTGTAGCTTAGCTTTCTCTAATTTTGATTAACCAAGTTGAATTACAGACACAGTTGTGTAAAGGATTCCTGGATGAAGTGAGTGTTCAAGAAAGGAAAGCTGCTTTGAAAGCATACACCATAACTAATGATGATTTAATAGGAAAACTCTTACTCCTACGAAACCTGAATCTTTTTATGGTGAATGCTAATTAGCAAGAAAGTAGTATGGATATAAACAGAATGCCTACTTTTGGAATATATGGAAAGAGAATTTTCAATAAAAAGTATTCAGTATTTCTTCATGTGTTGTTTTTACTTTCACTTTACTTTTTTGGTTTGAAATACACTGTTTCTCATCATTTGTACTACTGAAGCGCCTCATGCTATTTACTCAAAACCGCCTCCGTTTGAAGTGCAAGTCCTGGCCTTTATTAAGACGTTGCTCTAAGTCTCTTATGGTGTTTCGGAGAATTTCAATTTCCTTGTTTTTCTCCTCCTGGAGATGCTGCAACTTCTGCAAAAATGCAAGAAAAGTCTTTGTTCATAAAAATCAGGTGGGATTATTACCTGTAATATGCTATTGCTAATGCAAAATATTAGAATATCTTTCTCAGTATTTCTTATCACAACATTACAAAGATGACTTCCCCAAAATCCTGTTTCTGTGACATCACAAAATTCCCAGCCTACAAAGACAATAATGCATATATAATTTGTATCAGTTATTGATGTCATTACTACCTTAAGTTCCAAAGTTAAAAATTCTGTATTAAAACCACTTCACGTGTAGGCTTTTGTTGTTGTTCATGTCAAAGGTATTAAGGTAAACTCTATCTATACCAACATCAGCGCAAAAGACATGAAATTAGTTGTCTAGAGGTGGGAGAGATGTGTTGGAGAGAGTGAAGATGGGCCCTGTAAGACATGGAACTCTTTTTTCCCAAATAAAGATTTATTGTGGAACAAACAGAACACAGTAACACCCCAGAGAACGGCTGTTTGAATATGCAGATTAGAGGCTATTAAAGCACATACCCTTCGATAGATACTTTGTGGCAAGACAGAAGCATCTGAAAATGACTTTGTTGTTTTATTCTGGACTCTTGCCAATTTAGCATTGAACTGAAAGAATCAGGAAATTAAAAACATTAACAACCCAGCAAGAGGGGAAAAAAAAGTATGTTAATACAAGGATATATACATATGTGTATATATATGCAGGAGGAGAAAATGAACGGATGCTAAAAAATTCTGAAACCATCCCCCTTCCCTCATGTTCCAAGGATAACTCAGCCCAAACACTTTCACACCTTGATTTTTTTTTTTTTTTAAATGTGAAAGGTTTAAAGTATTTACATAATTTTTCTGCAGTGAGGACAGTGTCTTAAAACTTGAGCCATGAAATACATGTTGAATTCTATTACTCAAACCTCTGCAGGATTAGAAGTTTTAAAACTCTTGGACGTTTATTTAAAAAATAAAACTAAAATAATTAATAAAAAAAAATAATAAACCACCTTCCAAGCATTTAGAAATAAAAAAGATTAAGAATAAATATAAAGTATTAATTTTTATAGCTCAAAAAAGTAGCAAAATTTTCAAGTAATTTAAACCAAGAACACCTTGAACTTCACTCTCCATGTGTATCAGGCAGGACTAGATTTCAGAGCAGAAACTACTCAGATACCATTACAGAAGAGAACATGTGCCACTGATCTTTGTAAAGATGATCACAAGTTTCATAGGTTCCGTCATGTTAGTTTACGTACTAACTATGCGATTTTTCACTACACAGTCTTCTGAGTTTACCCAATGCATAATTGATCTTTAACTCAGAATAAAACATACCTCTATCTGCAGTTTAATTATTTCATTCTGCTTCTCTTCATCTTGGGTTTTCAGCTGCCTAGTTAGCTCTAGTATTTCCAGTTCTTTTTTCTCTATTTGTTCTCTAAACTCCACCTCTTGTGCTTCAGCTAATAACACAGTAACACCAAATATGATGACTAAATTATAGAATATGATTAGATGTAAAAAATAAAAAAAGTATTTCCCAAATATTAGAACTTCGTATTCCACAGGAAAACAATTTCAGTCAAACAAAATACACATCAAAGCTATGTGGAAACCATCCTGTTCCATGAAAGTGAGATGAAGTCCCCTTAAAGAAGCATTCTGTAGATCAAATTCCACAAAGACTTTACTTACCTTTTTTTAAGCTAAGTGGATAACCAAAAAATCCTATTTTTCAAGGCTATGTCAGTAATGAAAAGAATATTAATACTGCAATCAGGTGTTTCTTTTTGCAGAATTATTTATCTGCAAAAAAAGGTATGATGTCATGCTCTTATTGAGCTGGAACACCCCCTCACGGCAGTCTAGCTCACACTTCAGTAATATTCCACATAGCACTTATCCAAAATTTCATTCCTTCAGATGTTCAGTCAAAGTTCACAGTGTCTGTTCTACCTTTTTTGGAATTTCTGTTCATCTTACATTGCTGTAGTGTTACCCTACTGCCATTCTCTAAGGGAGACCTTGTACCCTGATTACCTTAAAGGAGGTTGTAACAAGGTGGGGATCAGGCTCTTTTCCCAGGCACAAAGTGCTAAGATGAGGCGAAATGGTCTGAAGTTGCACCAGGGGAGGTTTAGGTTGTGTATTAGGGGAAATTTCTGAAAGGGTTGTGTAGCACTGGAACAGGCTGCCCAGGGAAATGGTTGAGTAATCACCCCTGGAGGTCTTCAAGAAATGTGTAGAGGTAGAACTTAGTAGCATGGTTTAGTGGTGGACTTGCCAGTACCAGAATAAAGGTCGGACTAGGTGATTTTAGAGGTCTTTTCCAGCCTGAATGATTCTATGATTCTATGATTCTGTTCTCTTGAGCCAAGATCAAATTCAGTTCAACACTATCCTTTTCTAGCTTTCAGGTGTCATTGTTTTGTCAGTATGACATCTGTACTCTAAATAGAAACTGTTTTCTAGTGTTTTCCATGAAGAAGTTGAATTCTTGCATTTGTGCTAGAAGGAGTATAGCTCTTTATGGTTCTTAAAGGTTACAACATGGTTTACCCAACTATCTAGCATTTAGTCTTGAGAGAACTTACATTTTTTTCTTATGTTGCAGTTCAACTGTGTTATTTCTAATTTGTGGGCTTCTTCTCTGTTTTGAATTTCTATCATAAGTTTCTCAATCTGATCTTTATATTCCTGTGAATGTAAAAAGCTTCATAAAAATCTTCAGGTTTCTGTGCTTGCTTAGAAAGCCTTCTGCAAAGCACAACATTCACATCAAAATGCACAGTACTCTATAATTCAGTACTTGTTTTATGTTGCACCCGTTCAATTCTAAAATTCCAGTTACTTCTTAAAGAAACTGGTGGAAGTCTACAGATGAAAGATGCAGCAATTTTCATTTTAATACAGCTACCAGTTAAAATAAAATTATAAATTTCACTTATGAGGAGAAAAGGCAAATGTAGAGGTGGTATTCCTTTCCCCAGTCTAGGGTATGAGGTGGTGCTGCAGTTAGTTGAGTGACTATATTTTTTACCTTACTGGATTTTTGAATGTAGGACTATATAACAGAAATGGTATTTAAAGTATACAAGGTTGTTAATATTGCTTATTCCAAGGATCTTAGGGTTGTAGGACTTTACACTGGTAGCAGTGGAAACATCAGTGGTATGAGTGGTTGTGATGTTGGTAGCACTGATATTCAAGTGAACAGTTTGAGCACACCTGTTTTAAGTTTGCTCTAATGAGAAATACTCTGTAACTGGAAAGGAATTGATAGTATTTGTAGAGGTGCTTACTCCAAAGCTCTTGTCAGAGCCTTCAGCATGGTAGGTAGACACTGACCAAAGCAATTCTTTAAGTCACTTACAAAGGCAGTTAATATTTGGTGGTAATAGCATATACAGGGTGGTCGAGTAAGTGCCTTCAGAACATCACTAGATGTGCATTTATACATAAAAGACATGTATAATCATAGTTTGCATGTGTCATTTTGAAAGCATTATTTATTCTCAAATTGTCACGATAACAGGTCTATTGGTGTAAAAGTTTAATATACATTTATGACTAGTGTAAACACACGCAAAGAAAACTGGCAATAAGATCATTAATCCTATAAGGGAAGAGATACGCAATCATAGCACAGAGATAGCACACAGCATGTGGCTAGCCCTGCTTATGTTACCTCCTTTCTAAACCAGAGAGGGAAAGATAACAGTACAGAGGTGGTAACTTGTATTTATTATGAGGGATTTATTCTTTTTACAGCATTTACTCCCAAAAAAACAGAGAAAGAGAGATTACTATTCCTCTGACTGAATTCCTCTGATCATTTGTAACAAACCTGTTCACAAGCCTTTAATTTCTCTTCCAAAATGTGAATGTTTTCCTTCAGTCTATCATTTTCATCTAAACAATAAATAAATAAATAAGAATAATATACTAAAAGGTACATTTTGACAGTTATTAGCATGAAAGCAGAATAAATAAATTAATTGCATTTTTTTTTTTTAGTTGCCTGAACTTTACAAAAATTTACATATTCTAGACTTGATAATTTTAATTTACAGAGCTACATAATCTCAGCCTCCACTTTTTTTTTTTTTTTTTTGGAATAAGAAAATTCATAATTTATTCATAATATTTGTTGGGTATTTGAACAGTAATTTCTCTTCTGATTACCAATGCAGTCAAGAAAACCTACATGTATATGCAAAGTTAACTGGCTCACAAAACAAATTATTATAAGGTCCACAGCACTTTCAAGTTAGGAGATGTAACTTTTTAAGGACTTGTTTCTCAAAGCCACAACTCAGTTAATGTGTGTAAGCTCTTATAAAGACTGTCTGCAATGACAATAATTATGTACACTGGAAAGCAGCATCTCAAAAATAGAATTCAGAAAAAGCAGTTACTGCTTTCTTGATTAGTACAATCAATTTTGAGTATTAAAAACGGCCATATACTTCTAGATCTTAGAAGTTTACTAATACTTATGCTAAATTTCCTTGAACACACAATGGGTATAAAATAGAGTATAGGCTGTAGAATTAAACTGTGATATAAAGATACTTTAATATATGATGTGTATAAAAATATAACAAATATTTCTCTATTTACCTTTAAAACAACAGTGAGTAATTGTTGAGTATTTCTGGATAACAGCCAGATTTTAATGACATTAAGCTGAGGATTAAGACTGGTTTTACAAAGCACATTGGTAGAAAAAACAAAAAACACATAAATGCTTAAGGGAACTATAGTTTAGTGATCAAATAATACTTTCTCAAATTTTCTAAAATTTTCTGTGCTGTGCTGAAAAAAAATGTAAATCCTAATAAAATTAATAAAATTAATTAAAGATCTCACTGAAACAGAACTTCTTTTATGTGTGGATTCTAAGTAGAATAATAGCAGTAGACATGTATTAAGCACATAGACCGCCAAAATCTGCACAGGATTGATTTTAGATACACTTTGTTTCATCCCTGAAATGAAACAAAGCCAGTGAATTTCTCTCTCTGAAAAAGAGAGAAGATGCCTCTGAATTTCTCTCTCTGAAAAAAAAAACACCATGTGAATATAAAGAAAAACTGTAAAAGTCTACTTATTTTAATATACTGCACAGAATATATAAGAACATTTTTGCTTTTACCTTTCACGTTACAGTGGTTTTCAAGAGTTTGTGTTAGACCCTTGATCACATTTTGTAGGGTAGTACATTCTAGAAGAAATGAGAAATCCAGTAGTTTTAAATAACTTCCTCACCACTTTAATTTTGGAATTCATTATAGCAATTGTAAAAGAATAATAAACACCAGGTTTAGGTAACATTTTAAAAACACTATAAAAATGTAAGAGAAAAACATACATTTTTAGTAACAGACTTTTAAGCATAAATCCTTCTGTTTGGTCTTCTGAGAATATTCAATTCACTTTTTTTTTTTTTTTTTTTTGAATAGTAGGAAAAATATACTGCTTTACCCGCTGTAATGATGATTTAAACTCTTCTTAAAGAATCAGTTTCGTCTTTCTCTTTGTGAGTTAACCTGGTTTAATTCACACGACTTTTAAGAAGGACATTTTTGCACAAGTAACATACAGGATGTAATATTTCAAAGCTTACTTGCACTATATAAATCAGCTTGGAAATCCATAGCCTTCCGTTAACAGACCACAAGAATTCAGAAAAAGTAAAGAAGCTATACACAGATTGGGCATTTAAAATAATAATTTAAAT